GAAACTCATTTTTCTAATGTATTGACTTACACCTCAGTCATGCCTTAAGAAGTTTTACTTCAAAAATACTTGAATATATTATTGTTTATTACCATTAAAATTATAGTGCTTTCAAAATAATCAAAAAATATGTATATAATAGAACTGACGAAGATATCTGGTAACAAACACACAACCAAAATTAAAATAATATTTTAGAATAAATCACTATTTGGTGGTCGTTATTTCTTATATTACGCATTTTCTTAATAATAAAAATATTTTTTGCCGGTACTTACCCTCGACGCTTATAATTTAAATATTTAATGGCCCTTTACCCAATATATGGAATACTATTACTGAGCTGGAGTTGTCAAATAACATTTTGTAAGTCCGCCATTTAATACTTATTATACAAGATTTTTCCTGATGTTCCCAAATTATAAAAATATTATAATATCGTTTTTATAAATACTCTGATAATCGAACGACGCGATGCTGTACCTATATATTTTCTGAAGAGGAGCGTACGATACGATCACCTTATATACTGAGCTCATCGCACAAATATCTATATATTTTACATAGTTTAGAAATTTAATTTAAAATGCAAATAATTTGCTATTTGAAATTACCTTGATAAGGCATTACTAGTTACCTATTATAATTTAAAGAAAAGACATTATCACACTTTATTGACACTTCATCAAACCCGACGTTATCGATAGCGAAAAATTCAAATGAGTGAAATGTAGAGTGTGTCGTTAGGTGATATCAATAGTAAAAATAATTGGTTGTTTTGGATAGGCTTAGCAATCGAAAAGTTTATAATGTAAGAGTCAAGTAAAAACAAGCTTGAAAAATCATTCCTTATATTTTTCTCAATTCAAACATGAGGGAGATCGTTATTGTAATTATCAGTGCGGCTTTAGGTATATTCCAGACTTTATCTAGTGCTGAAAATGCTAATTTAATAATAATTACATCTTAAGAGATATTATGATATCAGCGTCTTCAAATATGTTATTTTAAATAATATAGATTTTTCGGTCAATATTGCATTATTACCGGCAGTAAAAATGAAGATGGTAGCTTGATAATATCTTGATCTGTACATCTACGATAGAATAGGCGAAATTAAATATTATTAAATAGTGATAAATTGTAAGACTTTATAGCAAAGCTAAGACTGAGTGGTTTCCTTTTTCTAAATTGTTTTTTTTTTTTTATTAGGGAAACAAACAGTCCAATCACGGTAATGTAATGCATACGGTATTGCAACTCGGGCCTGTCCTTGAAATAATTACCTATAGCCAAGCGGTACGTACCCAAGCGACAGGGCTGCCCGCCGGCCAGTATTTTAATTTCATCTACCTACTCGTACTTGATCTTCTTTCTAGTTTGTGATTTCAAATATTATATTTTTTATTTAAAACTATTATTAGTAGATTTAATTAAAAATCTCAAATTTGTAAGGGTGGTATGTGACTCTTATAAATTTGAGATTTAAAAATATTTGCGCCTCGACTGAGACGTACGAAAAGCTTTATTGTTAAATTTTATAGCATTTAAAGAATCCGCATTCGGATAAAAAGCTTAATTAAAAATAATTTAATTTTTATTTTTAAAATATGTTTTATGGCTCGATACTTTTTTGTTTGACATTACCAAAGTTATGGGAGGAATAAAATGTTTATTTTTGTGTCAAATTATAAAAGTTACATAACATAACCACCTTATACAATTTTCGTATCCAATTATACGATCTGGCAGCCCTGGACGTTTGTCTACCGAGTGTATACCGAACGCGACGCGCGTAGATATAACTCGATTTCCAACCGTTTGTATGACGATGGAATATTGTATGTAATATTACCGTGATCCAATATTATATAAATAATAATAACAAGACTACACATAAACCAATCAAGCTTCACTGATAACTTACACAAAAAACTAAAACAAAAGAAACAGAGTACTAAACAGAGTGAATGAACAACTAAAACAGAAAAAAATGAAATAATTGACTAAAAAATTACAAAAAAAACATTGATTAAAATTAATTACAGGTTTTTTTGAGGAAAACATTAACTACAAAATTACATTAATTCACTAATCGATTAATATTATTCTTAAAACTTGTGATAAAACAGTGTAAAAATAAACATATAATTTCAGGACGAGGAAAATAAGAACACAGTAAACCAATGCAATAAGCTTTATATTATCACTTTTTACTTTATAAGTTTTATAATGTCACTTCAATTTTCGTATTTCCATCTAATATAAAAATTAAATGTAGTTTTAACAATCACTTTATATCACTACTATTTAACCAATCACAGGAAAACTTTATCTTTTTACTTTTTACACATAAGTTTACCACTATTTTGATCAATAAGTTTACCAGCATAAATTCAATATTATTTTAACAACGATTACTTATCTTTTCTGGCGTAATGCACGTCTGTCAAAAACTAACTCTTCCAACGGTTACCTTACGCTTTTTCATCTTTTTTTTTATCAATCAGCCGGAAGTGAAATTTTAATTATTTTCATAAAATCATCCTAAAAATCAGTTAAGTATCCATAATTTATAATTTAATTTTATTAAATTAAACAATAGTATTTCAGAATTTTTAAATGTAATAATATAATTATGAACTTCTTACTATTTGATTTATTTTCAAGCATTTATTTATAAGCATATAATTACAAAATTAGTAACTCGAAAAATATGTTTAATTTTAAGATATTGACTGTTAAATTATTATATTTTAATATTTCTTTAAAAGTATAATCAATAGATATTCCATATTAATTTGGAGTAGTCAAATATTTCCTGTTAATTAATTAATGACTTTTAATGAAAATATTATTATTCATGATTTCTAATTATGTATATTATTTTATTATGTACAATTTTACTACTCCGTCTAAGCCTAGTCTAACACTTGTAAGTCAATTTCAATATATCTCGAAAGTTCTATTTTTTTTAATGTTCTCATTACATGAACGATGTATAAAGATAATATTTTGAGCACTTCGACATGTTTTAGTACGCTTAGTATCAAAAGATCATGACGGCACTTGCTAAATTTCGGAACCTTAAAACTCAAACCGTTTAATAAGAAAGGGCTATCAATGAAATTATTTATGAGTTTAAGAAGAAAAATTTGATCTACGCGAATGTTTGACATTATTTAAGACATGTAACACCTCAGTCTCTCCCGTGACCATGGATGCTGTAAAGCATTCGAAACGTCGGGAACCAAAAATCTAAATAAATCCGCGAAATAATCCGAAAAGATAGTTTTATTTAATAAAAATTTGATCTCTAAACATATAGATGCGTCGTAACGCATCTCTAAAGGTCTAGAATATTAGATGGACATTGATCATGACTAAAAAAATCATATTGTGTATGTTTTGTAATGTATTTTTTTCTATAGAATCTATGTATACCTTGTATTGTGGGTTCCAGATTGATGAACCAAAAAGATTTTATTTTTATAATTGCTTATTTATTTATTATATTATAGCTAACGATATTATTTATTAAATACCTAGTGACTCACCCCCGCTTCTTTCGGCTGCGTCTAGGTACGTTTTGAATAGATAAAAATAGTTACCCTGAGTGTAGTTTAGGAGATAGACACATGTTATTGCAGAATTTTCTGTAGGCCTTTTTATGTGAAAATGTAACGTCAAAACCGACTTTAGGTGCGGTGACGCGTCCGCTTCGTCACACCGCGATCCCCCCTCATCCTTACCCAGCTGAGCTCATATTTTAATTTTTAATTTCGGGATTAAATGAATAGATAAGTATTATTTGAATTAAGAATGATATTATAATTTTTTACATATGAATATTTTGTTTTTGATTAGGCCATACTTATTTCGTTTAATAAAACATCCATTCCTGCATATTATAAATATTTATTCGAGTAATAAGTTATCACTACACAAAATTTAATTAAAATCCGTTCAGTACTTTTTGCGTGAAAAGCAAAATGATTTAGATTTTAGAGACAAACAAAAATTTTAACAACTGTTGTTTTGGGGTCTATATTCTACGCGGCAGATAGAAAACATCACCTCCTTAAATAAAATTTATCTTGAATTTAATTTAGATTATTGAAACTTATCTTTTATGTGTGTTTAACAATGTGAACAATTATATTTTAATTTTTTAATTACCAATAAAATTTTCACGAATATGTAAATTGGTCAAAGACATGAACTTTTTAAATAATTTGAGCTGATTGTTATCACTGCTTATCTGTTTTTTTTTGTTATAATTAATGTTAATTGGTTTCAGTTCACAAAAATTCTCTGCTAGACTTTTTTATTCATATTTTTGAAGTAAAAATTCTTTCGGCGTGACTGTAGGTAAATCAAAACATTGGAAAAATGTGAAGCGTGTCGCAGAAATGAGAGTTGACTCTTTATTTAGATTTTTTTTTAGATTTAATATTAATAATTTTATAATAATTATTATGTTTATATTTTTATTTGTTTTAATTTAATTGCGGTATTTCCCACAGCACCGAAAAAGTTTATTTACATACTAAAAATCTAAATGAATATTAGGGTTAATTTAATTGTGTGTTTGTTATAACAAAATAAAAGTCAAGTTTGACATTATGTTTTATTTATTGATAACCTTGATTTTCAATGACTTCTCGAACCGAGGATGGGGACAATGTATAATTTTGATGTCGAATCTTTCCAAGATACCAAACAGTTGTCGTCTCATTATCACAACTTCCTATTATTTTACAATAATTCTTTTTCCAATTATGCAGCTACAATTGAAACCATAAATACTATCCTAATTGTCACTTATAATAACACTTTGATATTTAGCAATTTCATATTTAACTGATAATTAGTAAGTTGTAATTAAAATAGAGAAAAGATTCAACAAATATACTAAATAAACAACAAAATATTTCTAATAAATATAAAAGCTGGGCGATTTATCAATTATGTAAATGGCTATGGTAAACATTATATTAATTACTAACCAACCATTCAGCTAACAAGTCCCTTATACAACTTAATTTAGAATGTCTACAAGAATGCGCTTGTTTGACAATATCAGCCAGTTTTTCAGCTATCATGATAACTGGCGCGTTTATGTTTCCACTAGTGAGGCTGGGCATGATGCTGCCGTCGGCCACTCGCAAACGTTCGATGTTGTGAACGCGCAGCTTGCTGTCCACCACTTTACCCATCGCGCATGTGCCCGCGAAGTCGGAAGAGTAATACATCATGCTTTGCACATAACATTTCCAATATGCTCTGTCACTAATATCGAACTTCGGACACCTCTCCAGCTCCAAATCTACTAATTCCGCCTGCACACTCTTAAAATATGTTGAATTTAACACTTTTATATAGTCAATCATAGAGTCCGTTAAATCTTCTAAATCTCGTTCGTTGGCGAACGCGTTGGTAATTACTAGTGGTGGATCTCTTGGGTTTACACTTTTGAGCAGGACTCTACCACGCGATCTGGGGTGTAACAGGTTTAAATTCGCAGATAGCAAGTTTCGATCTTGAGCACCAGTAAGTAATTTATTACATATCGATTCTTTAAAACCATAAGTAAACTTACAAATTTCACTCAACGAAGAACCTTTCGATTCAATGAAGCTAAGCACTTGGTACGCGGGACAATACTCAGACTGGTTTAGAGCACCGTAACCAATAATAAGCGGCGGAAATTTCCGCAAATCTTCTGGTTGTGTCGATGCGTTTGTCTTTTCCATTTTATATGTCACTACGGCTGATATATGGTCTTGGAAATTGTACCCCACGGGTAGATCGCTCCTTACTGAGATATCCAAAGATTCCAAGTGCTCTCGCGGACCTATTCCCGAAAGCATTAGCAATTTTGGGCTATTAATTCCTCCCGCTGATATAATGATTTCTTTCCTTGCTTTGATAATAATTATCTCATTGGCCTCCGTCAGTGCCTTAACGCCAATTGCAATATTATTTTCAAATAGTATTTCTGTAACTAACGTCAGTGTTGAAACATGGAGATTTGGACGATGTTTATTTGCTTGTAAATTTTTGATTGCAGTGCTTTGCCTTATGCCATCGGCGATTGTAAAAAGTGGTAAAGTATACCCCAATTTTTCCTCTCCATTAACATCAAAGAGTATTTTATGACCAACTTCTTCAAAAGCTTTTAAATATTGTTTCGTCACATTTCTGTCTCCTCTTGTAATTCCTAGAAAGCCAGTCGTACCATGATATTTTCTGTATTCGGAATTAAGTATGCTTGGATCTTTAAGGTTCTCACTTTTTAAGAAATATTTAAAAATATTTGTGTAATTCCAGGAGGCGTCACTTGCAACTTCCGCCCAAGAATCATAATCTTTTGGACAGCCACGTACGTAAAACATGTAGTTAATGCTGCTTCCTCCACCCAGAACATGTCCACATGTGAGATTTAAAGCTTTTATCGTGTGATCTTGAGCTGTGCGATTGTCGTTTACTGATGTAAAATTCCAGTCATACCTCGTGTGCGGTAAAGTAGAAAAAAGGCCGGGAAGCTAAAAATAATTTAATTATCATTAATGCGACTGTAGGCTTTTGAAAATAAGATTCACTGTAGGTTTTCTTATTCAGATCAAAAAAATTTTTACAAAGGATTACTATATTAACTTATAAAGTGCTAAATGGTATCATATTTGACGACACGTTTGGCTCAGTTTGTAATGACCCTACTTATTGTACCAGCGATCGCGGGTTCGAGTCCCGCTGGGGTCATTCATTTGGGTGATGAGCATGAACGTTTGTACTCCAGTCATGGGTGTAATGTCCCAACATATTTATTATATTTAATAAGTGTATTTAACATACTAGCGGGCATATTTTAATAGGCATCCTGGTCAAAGCATATTTTCCCTTTTATTATTGTATATAAAAAATGATTTTGATTAAATACGCTATAGAGGAAGAGCCCGTGAACGCCAGACCTTCGTCGTTTTATAAAGGCTGAAAGTTTGTCGGCGCATGCTCCCAACACAGATAAGATCGATGGACCATTATGAAGTTCAGGCTATGGTGGCTTTGGCAGGTACACGGTACTAAAGGTGTGTAAAATACTGATCTAAATTCGTCAAATAATAAAGTGTGATTTTTTGGTATTACCTTCAGAATATTATTAAAAATCACGTCATTTAATGCCAGACACTTAACATCGTGGCAAACCCTTGCCAGACAACCTTTTCATGAAATCATAATTCTACTTACGTTATAGTATAAAAGCTGATTTTTATATATAAGACTTGGGTAATAATTAGATGATTTATAAGACTGCTAGCATAGCATTTACTACACACCATGAAAAATGTTCCAAACAAGTTGGGAGGCATTTCTAAGAAAATGTTGCAAATGGTCACCAAATTTGAAGCGCTAAGAATTGACTTTAATTGTGATATGTATATGTATATATATATATATATATAGGTTCTACTCACGATGGACTCTGTACCTGGTTCGTCGCCAGCTTCGATAACCAATACATCGAAGAACGGACACTCGGACAGCCGGTCCGCGATCACGCTACCTGCGCTCCCTCCGCCGACTATTACAAAGTCATATTCTTGAAATTCTGCAGATATAAATTATTCATGATTCATTATTATCAATGCATGAAAAGAAAACGTGGTAATTATGTTCCAGACACCTTCGTTACACGACTGTATGGATTAGTAGACTGTGGTCCTACCTTCCGCTGTCGCCAGTGCAATGAAACATGTAGCAAGCAAGAAGGAGACCGCAGCGCTTACAGCATTCTGCCTCTGTGGTACATATTCAGAGCCGACGAACATTTTTGCTTCATACGTTTACTTTGTTGTACTAAAAAAATATTTATACATATAGTCAAAATATTTGCTCTAAGAATAAATAACGTATTAATTGTAGTCTTTTTATCAGAGTATGTAACATGAATAATTTTACAAATGATAATATTTATAATTAACAATAATTAATTTTATATTTTTTTATATGATTATTAATAATAATTGTTTATTTATATTTTTTTTTTGAAATTACTAACACCGAATATTTATTTTTATCAAAAATATTTTTTATAAAATTAACAATAAATATTTATTGTTATAAATATCATTTATAATAATCGCCTTTAATAATACCAAATACTAATACCTATATATTGCTATATATTTATTTCCACAATTATTATTTATTCAATATTCCCGCCACATTCTATTTCCGTGACACTCACTTTTGCGTCGATCATTTTTCTAATATATTGACTTACACCTCAATCATGCCTTAAGAAGTTTTACTTCAAAAATACTTCAATATAGGTATGTTATGGTATATTATTTTTACCATTAAAATCATAGTGTTTTCAAAATAACCAAAAAATATGTATATAATAGAACTGCCGAAGATATCACGTAACAAACACACAACAAACATGCTATTGTAAATACAAAAATTGAAATAGACATTTCCCTCTTTTTGAAGTCGGTAATATAAGTATAGTTAATATTTCGGCTGGAAATAATCTTGTGATTTTCATGAAACTAACTCTTAAAAATTTAAAGAATTGGAGAAATCGATAATTTTTACTTTGTAAACTACATTTTTTTCAATTATCATTGAAGAAGTGTAAAGTACACAAAATCGGGCAATACTCGTTTATTGCGTTCTAAGGATTCCGTACCGATTTTTAATATTTATATACCAATAAACGGTCTTGTATATTTAGACTAGTGGCAAACATATACAGTTTCAGATCATGAGGCCTGGGTTCGATTCCGAAAAATTCGGTCCAAAATAGTAAATAATTTTTCTTATAAGGAATAGGACTACTACTACTATATAAGTATATTTTTACTTTATATTCACTACTCAACAGCACTCCGGAATCGGGAACATCTCCGTGCTTTGAAGCTTAGTAATCTTTCACTAATCAACGGCTTAGAGAGCTCACGTTATGTCTACGCATACACACATGTCTTGCGCTCGGAGCCTCGGTGAGGTCGGCCGCCGTATTATTTATACGCCGCCTTATTTTATACCAACAAAAAAAAACATTTCACAAATGTTTCGGTTTCCAAGTACTTTTGTTAAAAATTCTTAGTAGCAGGACAGAGTTGGGAAGTTGACGATATTACAGTCCCGTACCTCGGAGAGTATGTGGACAATGTGAGCAAAAGGTACAAACAACGAGTGCACATTTGTTTGCTACATCTCTTGCGTGCAACGTGTGGTGTATCTCAAAAATTACGGTAATTCGGACTTTTGAAAAAATATTTTAGAATAAATCACTATTTGGAGGTCGTCATTTCTTACCTTACGCATTTTCTTATTAATAAATATGTCGGAGACGAGTCATAATCACAACTAATCGGAACGCGAGCGCCACCTTTTTGGGCTCGACAGAGTCTACGTCGTGACACTCGACCGGGCTCGGCTGAGTTACGCTTGGTCGGTCGCACAGTGAACACTAGTAGAAACTGTCTTGCGTTCCGTATTGTCTATACGTGGTAATAGTGAAGTGGTATATGGTTGTGTAGTGAAGTGCTGTTTAACTATGTACAAAGTGATAATTGTTAATTTGAAATACAACTGTGATTGCATCGACTTTCATTTGAACCAACACTTCCCATATAGCGCCCACTGTATAAGTCATGATAAAATAATGGAAAATAATAGAGAAAATTAATGCTGCTTCGATAAATATATTTTTTGCTGGTACTTACCCTCGACGCTTATGATTCAAGTATTTAAGGGCCCCGCACCCAATATATGGAATGCTATTACTGAGCAGGTCGCAAATAACTTATAGTACGTCCACAAATTAGTATCTATACAACATTTTTCCTGATGTTCTTAAACCAGAAAAGTATTACAATATCGTTTTTATAAATACTCCGACAAACGGTCGACGCGAAGCTATAATCTTTTTTGAACGTATGATACGTTCACCTTATATACTGAGTTTATCTCACAAATACATATGTGTATATTTTACATATTTTAGAAAGTTATTTAGAATTCATGTTAATTGAATTTTTAAACGGCACTGATAAGGCATTACTATTTGTTATAATTTAAATAAAAAACCGATATTATCGATAGTGACAAACATCGAAATTCGAAGAATTTATAATGTAAGAGTCAAGTACGGAACGAGCTTGAAGAACTTTTTCTTAAATTATTTTCAATTTAAGAATATGAGAGATTTTTATTGTAAATACCAGTGCTGCTTCACGTTCCAGACTTAATCTCGCGCTGAAAGTATAACAACCTGTAAGTAGGTAATCTAACAATTACTTCTTAAAATATTATTGTATCAGCGTCTTCAAATATACCTAATATATTTTTAAATAATCTAGATTTTTAAGTCAATATTGTGTTGTAACCAACAATGGAAATGAAAATGCTAGCTTGATAACATTTTGATCTATAAGTACATCTAAGACCGAATAGGTGAAATTAAATATTTTTTAAATAGTGATCGATTGTTATAAGAATTCATACCAAAACGAAGACTGATTCCTTCTGTTTTTAAATTGTGTTATCTTTATGATTGCTTATTTCTTTATTAAATACCTAGCGACTCACCCTCGCCTCGTTCGGCTGCGGCTAGGTACGTTTTGAATAGATAAAAATAGTTACCCTGAGTGTACTTCAGGAGATACAGACACATGCTATCGCAGACTTCTCTGTAGGCTTTTTTAGGTGAAAATCTAACGCCAAACCAAATATGTCAAATATGTCAGATATTTTAAATAAAACTATCTTTTCGGATTATTTCGCGGATTTATTTTGATTTTTGGTTCCCCAAAATATAAAAAAAATCCGCGAAATAATCCGAAAAGATATTTTTATTTAAAATGTCAAATATTCGTGTAAATCTAAAAAAGTATTATGTCAGATATGTCAAACGCGTCGCCACGCCGGCATCACATCACTCTCTTCCCACTCGGCTCATAATCTCTCCTCTCTCTCACCGCGTTGAGATCGTATTTTTATTTTTTATTTTACCATTAAATTAATATGTATTATTTAAATTACTTATTTTCTTTAAAAAAATATGAATATTTTGTTATTGATTATGCCATACTTATTTCTTTTAATAAAACATCCATTCATGCATATTTATATCTTTATATATATAATTCTTCTGTGAGTGTGTATGTCACTGAACTTCTCTCAAACGACTGGACCGATTTTGATGAAATTTTTTGTGTGTGTTCAAGGGGATCTGGGAATGGTTTAGATTCACAATTTTGTCCGCTGGACAATGTTTTTTTAATTAATTTTTAATTTATTAGTAGTTGTTGATTTTGGAATGTTTTACATTAGATCCGACAGACGGCGCTACCATCGCAGTGTCAAATTTTAAATAATATTCGAATTTTAATTTTAGTCTGTCCCGACAGTTAGCGCTGCGATCAAATTAAAAAAAAGGTTTTGTTATCATTGTAGACAGGACAACGTCTGTCGGGTCCGCTAGTTTTGTATAAAATTTGTTCCGATGTTGACAATCTGCCAGGCGTTCCGCGACGGCTTAATTTTTTTAAGACCTATGTATAATTTTTACAATAAGTAATTAAGTACATTGTTTTGATGTATCTCTTAAGGTTTAGCCATCGTTAGCCGTGTAAACTGTAAGCGTATAAAAATTATTCGTTTTTTGACAGAGCACTTCCACAGTTCAGCCATTTTGTACATAATATTTATAAATTATATCCAGAAACCTTCCTCGTTTGGCGGCCATATTCTATTAGTGAAAACTGTAGCATAAGCAGTTGCGTGGTTTAGAATAAGGAAGCGGAGGAACGGATTTTGCCCTGACCCTGCTATTAAAAGTTTTTGTGTAATAAATAATAAAAAAATGTGTGAAGGCCCACTCCACCGACCTGTTATTAAGATTTCGCGTGGGATCGATAGATTTTCCTATAGTTAAAAGTATTTTATATGTTTACTCGACTAATAATTTCTCACTACGTAAAACATTTCATTAAAATCTGTTCAGTACTTTTTGTGTGCAAAGCAAAACGATTTACAGACAGACTGACAAAAATTTCAACAACTATTATTTTTTTTACTATATTCTACGCAGCAGATAGAAAACATCATTCCCGTAATGTTTAATTATTTTGAATTTAATTTGGATTATTGGTATTTATCTATTGTAAAAGTGTTTAACAAAGTGAACAAGTTTTTAATTAAATTATTAATGAAATTATCACGAACCTGTAAATTATTAGTCAAGATCATGAACTATTTAAATAATATGAGCTAATTGTTACCGATTTATCTTTTTTTTTTGTTTTAATTAATGTTAAATGTTTTTAGTTCACAAAAATTCTCTACTAGACTTTTTGAAGTGAAGTTTCTTTAGAATTGTTGAACGACGAGACGGACACGTTTGGCTCAGTTTGCAGTGAACCCTACTTGCTGCGCAGCTGGCTGGCCATCAAATTTAAAAGTTATTTTACATTTTATTTAATATATTATGTATATTACATAACATATTATACAGAATTATTTTTCACTTCCTGTGTAATGTATTCTATCTCATTCTGTATTATGTTCTCTGTATTATTTTAATTGTGTCATGTATTCTATCTTTCTTTCTCTCCGACGTAATCCTATATATTTGTGTGTTTGTCTCTTTCTAGTGTCGCAATTCCGTTTCATCGAGTTTCAAATCACAACGATCCTAAAGAAGTTTCACTTCAAAAATGTTACGCGCAAAGAAACAGGCAATAACTAGTGCTATATAATATAACAAGATAAAATAGTCTGGTCCTGGAGGAAATTGAATCGAGGTAATGCGGAA